AGCATTGCAATCCATTTGAAGAAGAGCCAAATATATCACTGTATTAGCAAATTTTGTCATTTCAAAGTGAAACATTTCAATGTGAAGATCTACTTTCCCATTTCTATAGATCCTTTGGAAACATCAAGAAATCAGACAAGAAGAAATTGAAAGATCATGACTATATAACTACCTTAACCTCAGCTAAACAGTCGGAAACAGATGCTTGGAAATTATGAAACTCTGTATCTTGATGCTTATGGGAAATGATATCCAAATGGGATTTTCATAGCAAGATACTTATCAATAATAACTAAAACTCAGTTTTATATTTTACTGCCGAATTGTCCTGTGCAAACTCACCCTAAAAGTCACAAGTCTTTCTATAATGACTGTGTGTTTTTTATCATTTGGCTGGAATATGCTCAGTGACCATGTAAAACTGACGGTTAAGGAAACTAAAATGGAAAATTGAGTAGAAAGAAGGAGAATGGAGTATGGCTCACTGACTAGAACACTGAATTTATTGAAGATCCTGGTTCTTTCAAAGAAATGACAAACTGAAGATTAAATTGATGAACAAATTGTATCTGACAGTATCTGAATAGTTTGAGATACCACAGCAGATGTGAGGAAGTTACAGCTCTCTAGCTGTTGCAGACTTCAGTGATTGCACTTCAACAACATCCATCATCATTGACCATGTTGGAGCTGCTGAGTGTCTTAGTTTGGCAATATCTGTAGGACCACCTCCTCTATCTCTGTTTTAAAGCATTAAAGGCTCAACATCCAGGTATCAATATTTGGTCCCTGCCTAGAGAACATAATTAAGTGCATAACATGATGGCAAATAGGAGTTACTGTAAATCCAAACACATCATTTGGCCCATGACCATTTAGGGATCACAATGAGCCAGTTGGAATTGCAATAGATAACAAAGGTTGCATTGCCTCCCATATAACCCCCTAAAAGGGAGACAAATTCATTTAACTGGCCATAGACAACCTATAATTTCAGCATATCTCCACTGCCTGAAAGCCCAGACATCTTTATATGTCTTCCCCCCTTGGGTGGCAGGCAGTAAATTTTTTCCATCTTTCAGTAAACATGTCACCTGCAACCATCACCTCAACCACATGGCTGTCAAAAAGATAGATTCCCTATACACTTTGATTATCCCTCCCAGTTAGCTCTAGCTGGAAAGATCCAAATATATATATAACCACATAATGACAGCATGTCTGGGCCAGTGGTTAAGAAACACACACCCGATCTTCCTAGTTATTAACAAATAGGAAAGGGGCAATAAAGTGGAAACATTTCTGTTGCTGGCATATATAGTTATAACATTTCAGCAATCCGGATTTTCTTTTCAGATCTGTATGAGTTCAGTGAATAGCCCTAGTATCAGCATCCTCTACTGAAATCAGACCACTTCACCTCCCTCCCAGAAAGTAGCAAGGTCAATGACCACAATTTAACATATTTCAGAACACCCTAGACTGATCCAAAGGTGCTTTCTTTCAAAAGGCAACTGGACTTTCTTGTTTTGCTAGAATATATTTCACTTCTCGTCCAAGAAGCGTCTTCAGTTCTGACTGAATGGTGGAGACTTAATCAGAACTGAAGAAGCTCTTTGGATCAGAAGTGAAATGTATTCAAGCAAAACAAGAAAGTCCAGTTGCCTTTTGAAAGAAAGCACCTTTGGAGCAGTCTGTCATCTTCGGGACAACCATGACCTAGATGACTGAGAAGCACAATAGACCCTAGACCAGGGGTCTGCAACTTTGACAACTTTAACTTTGTGGACTTCAGCTCCAAGAATTCCTCAGCCAGCTATGAGGCTTGAGGGAAATTTAAAACAGCAGTCTATTTCTGTTCGTTACTTCTGTCAGATGCACATGCAGCCAATACTCTTGAATTGGGAGAGATCCAGCAGCAGGTTCTTTGGCAAGTCACTCAAATCTGGAACTCCCCTGGCTTTAAATATTTAATACATCTGTGTACTTAGTGTACTTAATGTACTATATACACAAAACAGAAAATTATTACTCAAAACTTCCTAATTCTCCATAAATGTAGAAGCATGAATATTTCAGTCCATGATTCTGGGTCATTGGAAGGATGAAACCCAGTCAGCAATAGAAGAAGTCAGGGTTAGCTTTAATCCAAAGATCTCCATAATACATGTACTGTAAAAGTGCAGAATCCTCCATCCCACAGGAAAAAAAAATTGCTAAATATTCCTGGAAAGTCCACAACAGAAGAGTTATCCCATTTTTCTGTTATATACATGAGTGGTTGTTGATTCTTACTGTATGTATCAAACTGAATCTTAAGAAGTACCAAAAAGTTTGGAAATTATGTCTGGATGGTCAGAGGTATAATCAAATAAGGAACATACATTGCATAAAGATCAGGAGGATTTCACGGTATGTACAATGAGCTGCCACAGAATTCTGTGTTTTGGGGAAAGTACTGGAAAACACGCAGGAGAGAGATATAAGGATTGGAGTGGGCTTTATGAGGGCATCAGAGGACTAGATAAAATATTCTTCCCTTAATATCATATGTTGGTTTTGTTTGTGATTGGCTTACAATGAAGGTGAAGTTGGGCATGAAAGGTCTCCTATCCTATGTTCCACCCTGAACTTTCTTTACATCCTTACAAGATGTGCAGATTTGATATTCAGGCAGCTGCTCTGATATCTAACTCTATTCCTGGGTGGATCAAAAGAGGAGGTAATAGAAGCAATGGTCAAGATTAGTTTTACCTATCCCTCTCGGTCTTTCTGTTTTGTCCTCTGATCTACTGTGGCACTCATCAATTCCACAGAGGCTCAGTGTCTGGCAAGGAGGGTGAATAAATGTGACAACACAGAGATAAAGGAGCAGCCCCAGTCACTTTCTGTAATCCTGGCTTGAAGATTTATTATCATTTACATGGCAGCTGATTTCTCTGGGGTTTGTTTTTTTCCCCTCCTTCCTTTTAACAACAATTCTGCATTGTACTTCCCATGCGGCTAGATGTTTTTATGGAATGAAATATTTTAATTGTTGCTTGAGGCAAAAAGGGTCCAGCACCAAGGTTTCAGTCACTTCACATCAGAGACAGACTTTCCGTCAGCTTTGGCAGCAGAGGGAGGATGAACAAATATATTCATTCACCCATGAGACATATATCTCATGTCTCCTGTCAGGATTAACTCTACTCATGCACTTGGGGGGGGCTATTTTCTCATCCCCTTTTTATTTTCAGGAACTCTCGTTCATTCTAGTTCTTAAGCCAGGTTCAAACAATAGTGGCACAGCTTATAATACATTCTTTCTCCCTCCTGAACCATCCTGCTAGGAGAGAACTGCTGAGAAAACAGTAGCCAAGAATAATGGAGTTGGGATTGCAATGTCATAATGAAAATTATAAGTAAATGAAGAAAGACCTTGTGTACTGTGAAGAGGAACATTAATGGCAAACAATTAAAAGGAAACTAATGTGCAGGTAGGGGTATGTGTAGAATAAAAGCAGGCAAATAAGAATAGCAAAAGTTCCCAAGGAAGCTAAAACTGGGCCATGTGGCTCAGTTGACTTAATGTGTGTTTATTCTTATTTCATAACTATAAATAGAGTAGGCAACTTGGCTGCTTCCTAGACTAAGCCCTCCCAGGTTGTGTCAAGTCTTCAACAGGCATATTTATTTGTGAGCAATGCCTTCTGCTCTCAAGCTCAGGGAATCATATCCTGAAATGTTGTTCTTAATCTACTGGCCCACTCCCAAATGAGTCTATTGGTGTTCATGGGCTTTATTGATTGATTTAATTTATACAAATATATGCTTTGCTTGCCAGGTGCTCAGAAAATGTATAATTAAAAATGATAATTAAGAAGTTCTCCTAAAAGCAATGAACACAGGGACAGAAACAAAACAAAACAGCTATAAAAATCTGAGGGCAGCATTAACATTAACACTGAGGAGCATTAAAATATCATACAGGGTTAATGATGTTTACTAGTGTCTAACTAAATAATTAAGGGCCCAATCTTACATCCTTCAAGAGCCGCCATTTCCCATTTAGTGTCTTCCAAATGTGTAGGGTCCCAACAGATCTGAGAATATCAGGCAAGGGAAGACTGGTAGAAATGGAAGCGGAAAACCGCACAAAGGCCCATTCTCTGACAAGTCTCTTATTCTGCCTCTGTCCTTGATTCCACCAATACAAATTACTTTTTCCCACCCTGTAAGATCCTGTACTAGCTACTCTAAATTTGGCCTTTTCCCTCCAATTCAAAAAACAATCTTAGCAAGGATGCATTTAGTGTTAGCAACTATTAATGTTTCTTAGACACATTATTGTTATGATCCTTACTGTCATGCTGACTCAGAATGATAGTCTAACATTTTTATTGTGCTATATGAAAATTATGAAAAAGTAACACATTTGAAGGCCAACAAACTGACTAAATTACCCCTCTTTATTGCTTGCGTGTGAGCCCAATATTGCATGAAACTAAGAATGGCAGAAATTAATGTGTCTATTGAGATCAGATCAGAAAGGATTTTCCTGACTCATAGCTCAATCACTTCTCTATTATGCTTCACAAACAAGTATAGCATCATCACAGCCTACCTTCTTCACGTTATTACCAGAGCTTCTGACCTTAGCCAGAACCCTCCCATTCACTCTACTATTACAAAATCCACACAATTAACTTGGCATTATGAAAAATCTGACACCATGTTTTGACAGTCACCTCAGAGAATTCAATTCATATACCCAATGCATGCAAAGCAACTAGTATCTCTAAATGAAACAGCTAACCCCCAAAGTGGGGACTGCCCATTACATCTAACAAAGATCAGATTAATGGCCACATCTCCATTAAATAATGATGTTCTTTTAGGTTACAACACAAATGGCGCTGACAATCATCCACTCAGATTGTTCAATCCTCCCCATTCTTTGCCACACACAAATCAAAGATCCATGCCCCCAAATATACTCCCAAGTTAGAATTTCTTACTTGTACACTTTTTGATAGCACTTCCTTTCTTGAGAGCATGGCGACTTAGCTTGCAGTGAAAGTTATCCTCCCAAAATTCAGCAAACCAAATGTTCCGGCGATTATTGTCCAGTGTCCTACTAGAAAAATAGCGATCAAAACCTAATGAGGGAAACAGATAATAAAATCATGAAACCAAAATAAACAGGGCCAGCTATATGAGGGTGGACAGCAAATATTAAAAGATAAAAGGAAATTTTAGCTATTGAAATAACATTTTTTAAAATAATCATTATTAGAAGTCAGTTTTGAAATACTTTGAGGTTTAATGTTAGCATTTATTGGATATCAAAGAGCCTAAACCATTTCAAATGCATCTTCAACACAATTACCAATAGACCAATAACTAAATGTGTTAACTTGCATCATAGGTTCAAACATGATAGTGGGGAAGCCAGCTATTTTTGTTGTTGTTATTGTTGTTGTTGTTTTCTTTCAAAGGAGAACAAAGTCATAAATCAAAACCCCAACTCACTCAATTATAACATTTAGTGCTACTTTGCTAATTGAAAATAGTTTGGACAGTGGCATCTGTAGTAAGCATGATGATGTAAAATTGAGAACATGGATTTGAAGGCATCACGATGCAAATTCTGCCCTTATGTACCTGCATCAGATGTTGTGTTGTACCTATGTGCAATATTTGTGTGATCAAGTTATCAAAGCTTTTTAGGGACACTACTGCTGATGCCTCTCAATACTTTAGATTTCAACTCTCACAACTACTTACCATTGACTAATGTAGTTGGAACTCAAAGCAATTGAAATAAAAAATATTTGGAGGGACTAAGCCATATACCTCTGTTTCAGCTGTATCACATGTATATATTTTCAGAAAATATTTTAAAAATCTGAAAAATCAGCACTGAAACAAATGGAATAAATAAAAACATTCACAAGTAGACATAGATTTCAGCTTGAAAATTCCCTGATGTAAAAACAGATCAACCTCCAAAGAGGCAAAGTGTTAGAATTAAAGATTGTTGAAAATAGCTTGGAATTTTTGGCATGCTGCAGATTCATCCTATTGATGAATCATTGCCTCAGTTTTCCTCAACCCATGCCAGACCATATCTGGCTGGGAATTATGAACACTGTCATCTGAAACATATAGAAGACACCAAGTTGCCTTCTCTGTGATTAAAAGGGCAGCTGGTCAAAATCTGATTCAATTTTGCAATTCATTTGACAAATTGATTTGAATCATCAAAGTATTGGGGTGATTTGTTGCTACAAAAGTCTCCTCATGCCTAGAAGTCCAACTAATGTCTGGATTAATTCAGAAGCAACTGATCTTCTATGGACCAGATCTATTTGACAATTCAATCTGAAGATTCAGTTAAAAGACTGAATTACCACTGAAGTGGAGCTTCACATGGTCCGCAATGGTAAGTATATTTTTCATCTACTTATCTAGACAGCATTAAGAGTCTAGCAATGCCAGATTTACCTCACAGCCAAAGTTATATTTCTTGAAGGGTCATTCATTAGAAAGGAAAGAGCTGTCGAATACTCTAAAGCCCATTCATTCCATTCATAAGGCTATGCCTTAGGGAAAGAATCATAAAGCCACCATACTTAATATTTTTACTTCAACTTCTTTCTGATAGTCATTTTACACTAAAAAAATTAATTCGTGTTTAGCATAATTAAAATTAAGCTTTTGCTATTGGCTCAGAGCAGCATAGCTTTGTGTAGTCATAGGCCCATACCCATTGCATTCACTAGTTTTCCTTTCAAAAATATATGTTTTCCAGGCTGCTGATTATTTTTTTTATTTGATGGACAACTGATTTCAGACCATGCCATTTATTTGCACGGGAATATGAGGATGAAGGAAGTTTGATTTAAGTCCATATACTTGCTTTTTAAATTTATAGCAGTTTCAAAATGAGCACTGTTAAAATGCCCATTATTCTGGATTCTCCTCACTACAACTACCACCGTAAATAATTTTCCCTTCTTTAAAAAAAGTTGTATAATCATGGGTTGAATATTTTTATTGCATACATATTTCACTATTTCTTCAAAACTCTCAGTCTGACTGATATCTTAATATTTTACTGTCATAACAGCATGTGAGCTGAGTTTTATAAAAGATAAATGGCAAATCCTGGGGGCAGAGTGAAAAGAAAGATTAGCCTAGAATCCCCATGTAACCACAAATGAACTAAGTCTAACCCTCTTTGAGTGCTATTGACGTTTATCTAACTCTAACAAGGTTATGACTGTTAGTTAAGAAGATTCCTGTGCATGGACTTTTAGCAATAAGTCAGCTTAATTAAACCTTTATATGTAGACCTGGCCTTTCACACCTAACAATAATGGACCCTAGTAACCCTGTGAGCTTTATGGTTTAATACAGGTTTTCAAGTTTTCTCCTATGTGATTTCAACATCTTAAGCACGACCCCGGATAAGAGTCTCCATTTTGGTCTTTAAAAACTAAGACTTAAGAATTGAATGCAACTATTGAGGCTACTGGTTGGTGTACTGGCATCTCTGAAAGAACAGAGAAACACTGCAACAAAGATTTAATGCTGGAACGTTGATGCTGACCTGAAAAATCTTTTTGGATCAAAGACAGATGCTGAGATAACCCAGTTGTACTCTGGGTGGCGGCTCTTCATAAATAAATTGCAGAAAGGGAAGTTTTTGCATTCAGCTTGGGAGTTGAGCAGCCAGAAATCCTGGAACTCCACCTTCATTCATAACTGCAGTATAACTTATATGGACAATAAACCTGCCATCCTCATTTCTTAACCACTTTGGGAAATAATTAATCTATAAATATAAAGAAATTTCCTTTGCAGCAAAGATAAGATTCCTTTTGGTTAATTAAACCTTCTTTTAGGATTATAAAAATCAAAAGGGGATTTAAGGATTTAAAGATTCGAGAAATTTTTGAGAAAAAACTTAACAAAGGGAAAATTTAAGGTCTTCACATTTAACCTTAAATGTGAATGACTTGAAGGGACATTTTATCATGTTCAATGGACATATAAAAAAAGCCAGAAAATTTTGAATACAAATGCATACAATAATTCAGAAGATTTTAAAGACTAAAGTACTGGTGAAACCAGAGGCTTTTCTTTGGGACTAATAGAAAGTCTGCTGGAAAAAAATAATGAAACTTTTGTTTCTAGGCTCAAAGGGGAAGTGTCAGCCATGTTTAGGAAAGCTTTGATTTGATTTATCTTGTGTCAACTGTATTTTTCCCTGAATTGGGGAACGCTTCTTATAGCTAACTTTAGTTTGGACTATTGTAATACAGTCTACATGGAACTGTGCTAGAAAACCATTCCAAAATTACATCTGGACCAGAATATGGTGGTGAAAGTAGTTTTGAGTGCATCTCTGTTCACCTATGTGATACTTCTATTTTGTGAACTGCACTTGTTACCAGTTTGTTTCCAGATTCAGTTCAAGATCCTGATGTAATCTATAAAGCTTTTCATAGCTTTAGGGCCTAGATATTTACAGGACTACTTTCTCCAACAATTTCTCCCATCCCATAAAAACCTGGAAGAGCCAATTGCTCTGAGTCCATCATCATCAACAACAACAAAAATGTCTTTTTATGGGAACTCAGAGATGTATCTTCTCTGTCATTACTCTGGCCTCTGGGATAGCATTTTCTCCCTAGGTTTGTGTACCCCTTTCCTGCTGTTCTTTAGGAAACCTTTAACAACTGAAATCTTTCAGCTGGCCCTGTGTCAGGGTGATTTACCAATCAACTGGATTGTTGTGGGATTGTTTGATTTTCCCTGGCATGGCCCTTTATTATTTTTGTTCTTATTTTATTGTTATCATGTGTTTTAATCTTTCTGGTGTGCTGCCTTGAATCATTAAATAATAAGGATGAGGTCATTATTTTGCAAATAAAGTCTTAACAGCAGCCCACAAACCTGAAAGAAGAAAATGTTTATAATAATGTTTTGATTACTTTTCTTCTTACAAAAATCACAAACAGCATATAGTATAGAGTTCTCCCAGGTTTATAGATTCTTCTTCTGACCTAAACTTGCTGAACTTCAGCCAAGAGTGTTATTATGTACCCTCAGACGGGACCATCCTGCAAGTGGGTCTGAAATATGGAGTGAATTGCTGATTTTATATTGGATAACAGAAGAGGAACTCATGAGGAACAAAGACTCATAGGCTAACAGTAGGGGGCTAAAATTGGAAGACAGTTGAGGGCCCCACTTTAACAAGTTATTGATAATGATACTGATCTCCTCAAAGCAGAAAGGGTAGTCTTTTCAATCTAGTAGGCATGTCTCAAATTTTGAGAGGATGCAATGAGTGTTTTCTCTTGAAGGGAAGGAGGAATTATAAAATACCAATTTCCTTGATGAGGCTGCATTCTCCTCCGTCGTCCAGAATCTCTCTGTACCTCCAATCTAGTTTTGTCTTTGGGGGATGCAGCTAAGCACACATTTAAATAAACCCTCAAGACAGAGCAACTTACCATTTTGCCTTGCTGATTAAAAGAGAATATATGTGTTATGTCCCGAGCCTTGCAAACGGCTCGGGCGTTTGCAGGCAGTCCCGGGCAGGTGCAAAGCTGCCCGGGACCAGACAGGCTGTCGCCAGCGCCGTGCGCATGCGCGGGTGCTGGCGCGGGAAAAGTAACCCATTTACCCGGGAGTTGCTTACTTAAGAGGCTGCGAGGCGTTTGGGCGAGGCTGAAGCCATCTTCTGTAAGCTGAACGCTGAATAAAAAGAAACTGAGAACTCCAGCTGCTTCTCGTGTCTGTTTCCCGCCACGGACTCAACACTGGCGACGAGGATGGGATGCCTTGCACTACCTGGAAAGGAAGAAGTGTAAGCTTATCCAAGGAGTCCTGAGCGGCGAAAGAGGAACGGCGTCGACTCGGCAGCTGCCCGCCAATCCGGTGCGCATTCGGGGGTAGGCTGGCTGATAGACCCGTCTCCTGAAGATCCGAAGATGGCGAAAATCGGAAGGCTTTCGGAATTCGGAGTATCACATCAGAGCGGTGGGAGTGAAGTCCTAATATCAAGCAGGAGAATACTGCAAGGCAAAACAAGTGAGGAAGATAGCTGAAGGGCTGCACACCGGCTTTGCGTTTGCGGCCAAGA